TCAAAAGATATTTATAGTTATGAATTGATGTAAGAAATTAAAATATTTAATTAGAAGAGGAGGAGAATATGATAAAAATGAAATCAAAATAGGAAAATGGACTGAATTAAATGAGATATTTATTTAGTTCAAATTTAATTAGATTTTATAGAGGCTAAGAAATAAAAATTCATGCTGGTTTTTATCAAAATGATGAAAAGGAAGGTTTTTGGGATATTATGAAAAGAGACCACGATAGGTAATAATTTAAAAAAATGTAATAAATGAATTATTATTAATTAGAGGCTAGGACAATTTAAATAAGAAATTGTTTTTTTTTGTATAAAATCTTATTTTCTTAATAATCTAAGTTACAATTATGAAATATTAATAAAAAAATAAATAAAAATGCAATCATTATTAACATTTATTGTTTATAATTATCCCAAAAAGAAAAATTTGGTGATAAAGGCCAATATCATCAAAATTAAACTGTTATATTAACAAATAATTGACTTTAATAATTGAACATAACTAATATTATGGTTTATTGTGGATTTTCTTATCTTTTCATTTGCATGATAGATCTTAGAATTTTTCATCTGAAATTACCTTTTATTAATTTTTCATAATAAATTTCTCATTTTAAATTTAAATCTATGTATAAAACTTTAAAGGTTGAATTGTCTAGTCTAGAATTTCTAAATGTTATTAATTTATCTTAAATAAAAAAAATTAAATGTATTTCTTAATAAATTAATTGACTTTATGAATTGAGATTACAAATTAAAATTGAAATTTTAGAATCAATACTTACTCAAAATTTTTCTAATTAAATATTATAGGAAAAATCCATTCATCAAACATATAAATTATTAATGATCAACCAAACGTTCATTATTTTAGACTAGAGACTTTGCAGATTCAATGAAAATATATATCTTATGATGCCTTCAAATTTCTTTATGATAGATAAAAGTTATCTCATAGTTAATGAATTAAGGAACACTTAAAAAAAATTTATGCTTAACAATATACTTTTTTGAAATAGTATGATGACATTTAAGCAATCAATTTAAATTACAAATAGAATATAACTGTAATAATTAACATGGAAAAACTTATTATATATGCTAAGTCTACAACACACTCAATTTTGTTAAATTATGATCTTGATATAAAGAAGAAATTAATTGATTTATAAACTCAGAGAACTAAGTAATTATTACTTTAGATACCTATGATCCTTAAATATGGAACCAAATAAAAAGTTTGAATTATTATTTTCCTCCAACGATATCAATAACCCTTATTCAATTCTAAGCCATATAGTAAAAAACTACTTATTTGTACAAACAAAGATGCTTTATAACATATTAAATATTGTGCTACTTTAACCCTCATTCCAAAATTAAATGAATTTCCAATAGATGATGCTTATCAATCATATTTAAATGGATTAAGTTTACCTTCACAGGCAAAAATCTTAAAGGGCTATTATATGTTTTTAATTGATCGTAGTGGTTCTATGGATGGCACAAGAATCCAAAAAGACAAGCAATCACTGATATTATTTTTAAAGAGCCTTCTAGAAGATTGTACTTTTAATATAATTTCATTTGATAGTGATTTCGAAAAAATGTTTGATATTGCACAAGCATATAATGAACAAACCTTAAATAAGGCAATAAAATTTGTTCAAGAAATGGATGGAACTGATATATATTAAGCAAAAGATGAAGGTGTTTATGATGAAAATTATACAAAAAGCAAAAATAATCCAAAAACTCTCAATATTTTTTACTAACAGATGGAGAGGATTCTCCTGAAAAAATCATTAATTTAGTGTCTAAAAATCACAAGCCTGAAACACTAAATTAAAAAATATTTTAATTTTTTTTCCAATGGTAACTATAAGAGAATAGGGAAAACTTAAATAAATATTTTGAATTATTAAGCATTGAAAGAGATAGGAAAGTATAAGATATTCATTAAGAGTTTTATGTCTACTTAAAGGATTTTATTATTTTTTATTGATAATAAATATACTAAAGTAATTGATAATAAATTCTACAATACAGAGAGTATTAGATGCTATAGAAAACATAATTTGATCACCATTTAAGTTATGAGACTCTAAAGATTCATTTAAATATTCATAAAAGTCCAAATTAATTTTATTAATGATTTGATTTTATAGTGTCTCTTGCAATTCTTTTAGTTGCTATTTACTATATTTCTCATGAATTAAAGATCAACAAGCTCTTTCTAATTTCACCCTTTAAAATACCATTTTATTATAATTCTTTTCTTCTTTCCAACAATCACTTTCATTTTATGATCCATTAGGTGATTATATTGAGATGTTTTCTATTAGATTTTTAATAAGGTTATCCTTTTCCCTTCTTTTCTATTTTATTCAAACTTAGTAAGCTCTCCTTTC